CCCCAAAACCCCAAAACCCCAAAACCCCAAAACCCCAAAACCCCAAAACCCCATTGGTTCACACTCTGGTTGAAAATTCAAAAATCTTTTGAAGAAGTCACAAATCTTGGTTAAAAGAAATAGTTTAGTTTTAAGAACTATATCCATCTATTGTGATCATGTTATCTTTGTTTGTCGTTACCATGGTATTACTAGTTCTGTTAAAGCTGATTTCTTCAGAATCTTCATCCATGTTCTTCTTTAGAGCTAGTGTTACTCTTCAGTAGCTGTATGACGTATCGGCAGTAAGGTTCACCGATTTTTCATTATAAAGGACTACTTCAGGCTCGATTTTTTCTTCTGTATATTGATCAAGTCCAAGAAGAGGGATTTTAAATATTTCGTTATACATTAACGTTCCGAAGACAATCAAAGTGAAGCCGATTATCTGAGGCCAAATAAATCTCTCTTTACCTTTACCAGGATAGAATAGCCAGAAGATCCATACTAATGCTGGCTTGCTTGTGTTTATTGTAGCTTTTTGAACTCAGCTTGCAAATTTAGTAACTGCAACATTAGTTGAATTATACAGTGAAATACTCAATATCGAACCTATTCCGAGCAGAAAGGTTATGTCATCAAGGTAAAGCTCATAAACAGCTTGCCTAGTGTCTTCAATTGTGCGGTAAGTTCAGATCGTGCTTGAAGGTCAAGGTATTAATTGTAAAGTGATCAAAATCACAGAATAGATTATTAATCCCCAGACTCCTTCCCACCCAACCATTTGTAAAGGATGAATGTAAAATACTCTGAACAACTTTTCTTCAGAGACCATCGTGAAGCCTGAAAAGATCTGACCAGCAAGAACAAGTATCAGACCAAGAACAGGATGAGATGAAGCGTTCTCATCATTGTTCTTATCGGGATAGATTATCGGACTAGCTCCTACAATAGCCACTCCAATTACAACAATTGTCAGAGCTGTCCAATGATGTCTGTAATATCTCTTGTTGAGAAAAATTATACTCATGATGGTAGCAACAAAGACGATCATTCCTCGCAACATTTGATATACACTAGCAGCGATCATTGTCAGACCTACGAACATTAAAGTTGATGCTATAATATCAAATACACAAGGGATGGTAAACCATCAGACATTCACATCAAGTCTGAGGCCCATCAGTTCAGCTTCGATAGCGGAAGGATGGTATTTTGCAGATCCATATTTATTTAGATTTCTGGTATTTCAAAAACAAATAAATTGGGAGTCAGATAACCTCTCCAATGAACATGCACCATGTTTGAAAGAAAGGATGCCTGAACTCAATTCTTTCCTCCATTTCTTCGTTATAATACTCTTGGTTATTCTGTAGGTTCATAAAGGTCGTATTCAACAGCCCAGCAAGGAGCATGCCTAACATGAGAACATACAGAATAAGTTTTGGGACTCTCTCGGCCATTTTTTACTTAAGAAGTATAATATTTTTCAATCAAATCTTAATATTTTGGGGTTTTGGGGTTTTGGGGTTTTGGGGTTTTGGGGTTTTGGGG